TAAAATAAAACAACTTAACCATAATTCTCCTATTTAATAATTTGTAAGTCATATGCTGTTTTAGTGTTGGGGAAATACGTGATGTTTTAGTAGTTCTAAAAAATTAGTCTTCATCAACCAAAAATTGTCCATATGTTATTGTGTTTCACTTATGACTTCACTCAGATAAAATGTTTTAAGATCTTGAAGATTCTTGAAAAAAAAAAAGGGTTCTTATTTCCTTTGGGCATGTTTATGTTAAGGGGAGCCCTGTGATTTCCTAGGATAAGGGCTCTCAAATTTTGAGCGGGTCAGCATCGCCTGGAGGGCTTGTCAAAACACAGATTGACCAATCCCACCCCTGAGTTTCCGATTCAATAGGGCTGACGCCAGGCCTGGAAATTTGCATTTCTAACAAGTTTTCATGGGATCCTGACGCTCTTGGCTCTAAGGACCATGCTTTGAGAACCACTGACTGGTGATTTTAGAGATAAAGAAGGGGGGTGGGGGGGGATGTCTAGCAAATCAGTAAGCGTACAGTGACCATGAATAGAACTTCAGATATGAGGATTCTGAAGGGGAGGGAGGAAGTCAGGCCATTTTAGGAACACTTAATTTATGACTGGCAGTTTTCCAGTTTGCAGCTGATGGAAGGGCACTCAGGTCTAGCTGACTTTTAACGCTAGCCTGTTTCCGTGTCAGTGGGTAAACTGGGGAGACCGAGTTCTGTCTTTGTTGTTTGCAACCCTCCCCACATGTCACGAGTCTGCTGGTAAGATTGGAATTTCTATCAAATTGAATAGCCTGACAGCCCCCATCTGAAAAGAAGGCAGTGACAAGATTATTGATGACTGCTAGTGACTGTCCTTTCTCCTGCCAATCAGGCAGACAGAACTTTCTGGGGTGTTCTTGATCACCATGATTCCTTGTGTCCTGCGGGGGAATCAGAGTTTCCTGCTACCAAACTCTGCTTTTCCACCTTCCCAGTGCCTCTCACTAAAGTCATTCTGCAGGGATCACTGATCCTGGTAACTGGCTGCAGGGGACTCTAGGATTCTAGGACTCTAGGACTCAGTCACCACATTGTTGGGTGGAGGAGACACTAGGCCACTAGAGGCCTGGTGGAAACATTAGGCATGGGAGAAAGGCACTTCTCCTCGCTGGGTCCTTGAGAGCAGAGAAGAATCTACAAAGGGAGAGGCACAGAGGGAGCAGTAAAGCTCTGTAGTCAGCCACTGCCATGTGCACATTTCTTACATACAGGTTCATGGGACACACTGCTTCTCCAGAACCTTCTAGTGCCTTCCAGAAAACTCTCCACACAGTTAGACTCCATAGTACTAGTCAGAAAACATACACTTAAGCTGATATCCTCTGCAGGAAGGAACAGATAGCAAATTCATGAATCATACTTAAGTTTCTTCAATCACAGAGAAACACGTTTTTTTTTTAAAAAGTGGACCCTAAGCCTAAGTGACCAGCATTCTTTGGCAAACACTTTTTTTAATACTGTTTCCTTTGTATCAATGTAGAGAGCTCAAGCTCCATAGATGATTGAAGATATCTGAGAACATGTGTTTACTACAAGGCCCATGGTGGTGGTGATTCTGATGGGCAGCCATGCCTGTGAACCTCTGGTTGGACAGAGCCCAGTCTTGATGGGGAGGATTATGCTGTTGCTACATTATGAGTCATTCAAAGAAAAGTCTCTTTAAAAAGGAAAAAAAATCCAATAGGAATCCATAGCTATAATAGTTCTAATCTCAATAGCGTTCTCTTACTTTCAGAAGACTTTCATAACAATCATGTTATGTTCTTCACGATGTTCCTGGAAGTAGGTGACGAGTCATGTGTTACTGGCACCATTTTACTTCTGAGTTCCTGCTAGAGTGGAACCAGGATGAGAACCCACCCTTCCAGCCTTGTGTCTGGTGTGCATTCTATTGTATGACCGTTGGGGCTTGCTATGTGGGCACACACGCGCGTGTGTGTGTGTTTGATACCCTGCGTCTGTCCTCTTGCTTTCCAAGAGTGGATTACTGCCGCCACTTGCAACAACATGGATGGAGCTAGAGAGGATCATGCTAAGTGACATAAGTCTGTCGGAGAAAGACAAACACCCTATGATTTCATTCACGTGTGGAATTTAAGAAACCAAACAAAATTAAAAAGACACAAACCTAAAACCAGACTCTTAACTGTAGAGAACGGACTGATGGATGAAATAGGTGAAGGGGATGGAGAGTTCACTCATCCTGATGGGCACCGAGTGACGCATGCCAGTGTTGAGTCACTCGACGGTAAATACGAAACTAGCATAACACTGTTTGTTAATTACACTGGAATCAAAATTGAAAAAAAGAATGGGCTACTTGCCACTACCACAGATCATCAGGGTGTACATGGAGGTGAGAAGCCAAATTGAAAACAGAGGCAGAAGCAAAAGTATCCCCAAGGGATCTGACAGCCCAGGTTCTGAACTAGACAGCAAGGCCAGAGTTCATTTATTGCACTGGGGGGTAGCTAGAGATATAGTGTCAAATCAGGCATCTAAAAAACAGATTAGTTCATAAGAGGGAGTTATTTGCATACATACCATACATAGAAGTGTACCCCCAAAATGTATGTGTGCATACAGTGATCCCAGTGGAGTCCAAGATCCAGGCTGTGGTGGGTAATAGAGATTAGCTGGGAAGGTGATAGGGCAGCAGATGCTGAAGATATGGTAATGAGAACACCAGAGTTCAGAAATAAGGATTTACAGCTGCCTTGGTGGCTCTGTCGGTTAAATGTCTGCCTTTGGCTCAGGTCATGATCCCAGAGTCCTGGAATTGAGCTCCACATCAGGCTCCCTGCTCAACGGGGAGTCTGCTTCTCCCTCTCCTTCTACCTTTCCCCCCTCCTTGTGCCCTTTTTCTCAAATAAATAAAATTTACTGGAAAAGAAGAAGAAGAAGAAGAAGAAGAAGGATTTGCATTGCCACAAGTTCTTGAGAAGTGAAACGAGAGTTTGGGGTTATGGGTCAAGGATCTCCTAATAAGAGGACTAGCATGAGGGTGCACGGGAGTCTGCAGGTTTGGACCAGCAGCGAGTTTGAAGGCTGGGAAGCTCAAGTGAGCCAGACAGGATGTTTATACTTTGTTACATCACCTGGAGCAAGCCTCCCTTTCCTTGTCTGTAAAGCAAGGAGCTGGCAAATTAGCGGTCTCTACATTTCTTGCAGTAAGGAACTCCACGTTTGACAGAGAGTAGCAGAACATGGCTCAGTGCGGTGAGCAGGTTGATGAGAAATGAATGCAGGTGGGATTCCTCAGTGCTAATCCCTGGTCAGTGGCCTCATTACTCATGGGCATCTCTGTTCGTGCAGTCGGTTGTGGCACAGGGAACACACCACCAACCTGTAGCCCCGTGAGCTGGTTCCACATGTTCAATATCGGGCAAGCGCAGCGCCCATGTTCGTCATGGGACTCGTGCGTGTTTGGTCAGTGCATCCCATTGGCCCTCTTCTCGTGGCTACAGTCTCTTTTTTCTCCAGAAGGAAAACGAACAGAAGGTGTGTCGCATGCTAGCTTATTATCATCTGCTGAGTAGTTCTTGTAGTGAAAGGATGGCCAACAACCTCCGAAACCAAGATGAGTGCCTCCCCTTCATCCATTCGTAGCTTTACAGCCTAGAGGAGGACAACCAAATTAAGGGCTCTCAAGACAGAAGGAACTCAAGCGAAACTGGGAAGTGGGTCTGCAGTAAATATAAAACACGGTGCTTACCCGTGGAGCCCCTCCTGTGGCGGCTTCTGGGTTGTAGGTTCTGGGTTGAGATGTTCCATAGAGTCCTACTGAGGGATTCTAATGCCTTTTTAATGGAGGCACGTTGGGCTCAGTGAAAGAGAAAGATGTTGAGTGAGAATTGGGCAAATGAAGGTGGCATTGGTCGGGTGGGCAGTATAAACCAAGTAGAGTGGAGACTCTCTTGTCTTCTCTGTTTTTTGTTTTGTTTTGTTTTGTTTTTTAAAGATTTTGTTGATTCATTTGAGAGAGACAGAGACAGAGAGGACGATCAGGGAGAGAGGAAGCAGATTCCTCACACAGGGGGGAGCCCGACGTGGGGCTCCATCCCAGGACGTTGAAATCATGACCTGATCTGAAATCAAGAGTCAGATGCTTAACCAACCGAGCCACCCAGGTGCCCCTCTTTTTTTTTTTTTTTTTTTTTTTTACAAAATGGTGGTGATGCCACTATATCTCTTCGAGTCGTATCTCCAGAGTTTACTTGCCTACCCACTGTTCCTTCATTTTATCTTCACAAGAAGCCTGTGAGGTGCCCACAGCTGCAGCAGAGTACAGACAATCTTAGATTAGAAGAGTTTAGTAAGAAGCAGAGGCATGAGAATTAGACACAGGTTCCTTAAGGTCATGCAGCATTCCACTAGCTGAGCCTTGATAAAAACTCAGCTACCTGGTGTCTCATTTTTTCCTAGTCCCACTGAATCATGCCAGCTTTCCGGTACGGTCCATAAAACAGCCATAAAAAGCCACTGGTGGAATTCCCAGTGGTAACAATGACAGACTTCCTCTGAAAGATACACACGAGACCTGATCTAATACGTTTAGTTTGAAGTAGCAGCATTTCCCTGCACCGGGGTTCAGAAGTTTGCTTCTTTGTGGACTTGGGTCTTAAGAGAGTCCATACATCTTATGGAGGTAGACATGCTGCTGGATCCTCCATTGTCTCCAGGACTTTCATGTGTTATTATGGAAAGAATTGCTCTCAGGGAAGTTCTGACCTTTGGTACCAGAGACTTTGGCCAGAAGTCGGTGAAACACACGTAATTGAGTTGTGCGCCATTGTTGCTAATGGATTCTTCCTGTGATGGTGGTTGACAGCACCTTTTCACCTTGGCTGTAGGTTCTTGGGTTTGGGGATTCCATCTGTGGTCAGACCTTTGCCCCAGCTCCTCGGCATTGCCGTGCCTGCCCGGTGCACGGCAAGCCTGGGGTTATGGTCCACCATGAAAACCAGGATCCTTGTTTAATGGTCAAGTCTGAGGACTTGAACCTGGGTTCACATCTCAGCTCCTGCATTTATTGGTAAGTTGCTTTTCTTCTTCCCTGAATGCATGTCTTCATCTAGGAATTAAAAAAATACCTACCAAATTAGTTGTTGTGAAGATCTGGTTATGTCCCAGATGAACTCCACCTGACATAAACTGAGTACTCAACAGGCATGGACTATCAGTAGTACTACTGTAGATATCCTCAGATGTAAGACCCTGACAGGTGACGTCTGCTGACCTGATTAAGTATTTTATGCAGAGAGAAGAATGAAATACAGAAAGACCCTAGGACAACACAGCCTGTTCTCGTGGATGTCTAGATGGCAAGTATTTCATAAAGAAGCAGGCGGGACAGCCCTGAGCTATGCACTCTCTTGTTCATTATAGTACAAATAGTACCCTGGTTTGTCCCTGCCCTCCATGCTAGTCATGTCCCCCAAATAATTGTGAAGATCCAGAGTGCCCCCCATTCCTTTTCAAATGTCCCTGGGAAGGTAACACCCTCCTTGGCTGAGAATCACCGGCAGACATGGGTTTGGCTCTGAACCAGCACCAGCGCCGCCCTAGTGGCCAGTGGGAGAGAACTGACCGCGCGCCAAGGAGGGAGTAAGTTCTGATCCAACTTGTTCTCTTGGTTCAGGGCTCAGACATGGGCGCGCCTCCAGAGGGGCCGTCACCCAGCTTTCCAGTGACCCTGCAGAGAGCATCAACGGTTTTCTGAGGGAGGGAGGACCTTGGTTCTGCTTCATCTGTTGCACATACTTTGAGCAGGACTCTTGGTTAGTCTGAGTGCCTCTCCATGACCCCCACTGAGCCACGCACCTTCTGTATCAATCTGTAATTCAGGGACATGCTCCATCCCTCATTCGAGAGGCATTAACAAACTGACATCTGTTAAGCATCTATTCTAGGCCAGGAGCTGTTAGATACATCATACAATAATGACTAAGATGTGGCCCTTGTCCTCAAAGAAATAATAGCCCTTGCTGGAAAACAGAGCTACGTAGAAGTGATGTAAGGGATTGGCATCCCGTTCTTGCTTAGGGGCCGTCTGTTAGCCCAAGAAGTTATGCTACTTGCCTATATGTACATCCTGTCGTCTAGGAGTGCGTCTCTTTATTTCTTTTAGTTTTTGTCTCCATTGCACTCCTTAAGAAGGTGTTTGCCCTTCACCAGGGAGCATCAGAGACTCAACCCAGGTAGCCCAGTGTGGCTGGTTGGAGGAGCTCCGGGAGCATTCCCTTTGGCTCTCCTGACTTTATAGAGGAGCACAACCTTCCCGTGTGCATGCGTGCCGCTCTAGCATGGACTTCTTACTTCTGTATGCAGACGTTTTGTTGAGAGCTCCCTCTGATCAGAAAGGGAATCTTGAAGATCTCAGCATCTCTCTCCTAATGATCTTGTGCCTTGGCAAACGGGTTAAAACATTCTCAGCCACCTCCAGCCCTGAACTCCCATTTTTCACCATTAACAGGCTGTCAGCACTCCCCAGTAGTCTAGAAAGTAGCAGCGGGAACAATGCGGGGAGCTCGGTGTTGAGAGCCTGTACGAGCAGAGGACATGTTGTCATCTCAGGAATGGCAGGGACAGCAAGAAGGAGTGATGGATGGGAACTTGGTGGACCGACCTCCGCTTAATTAGTTCTGCACAGATTCCCAAAGTGTGGCTTCGTCGCTAGAAAAAAAGAAAAAAAAATCTAGTAAATCAGACCAGACTTTGTAGATTCTGGAGTGTGTTGTTGTGTTTGAGGGTTACGGCTTGTTCTCTTAGTACCCTGAGTGTCTGTCTCTACCCCAGAATTCTTTATCTCGGGGCAGATTAGTAGCCTTCAGGGTGAAGGAGAGGACGGAGACCCTAACCAAGATAGGAATGGGTGGTAATCAGATGGATGGCCAGGAGCCCTCTATCAGGAGGGAGAGTGGTTTGAGACGAGCATGTTACCAGGGAAGTGTTGGCACTTGTTTTTACTCTTTGAAAAAGTTACAAGGTATTTCTCTTCTTTCACAAATGCAAAGCAGTCATTCAGAAAATGTTGCTATGTTGGCAGCTGGAGAAAGGTGTTTTTGTGTGTCCAGGTTGCCTAATCAACTGATGTGTACTGAGTACCGTGTGTAGTGAATTCTAGAGAGGTTTCAGCACCAAGTTAAACATCTTAAACTTTATCCTAAAGGTAAGATGGGAAATTAAACCACGGGGTTAGCAAGAAGCGATTACATAATTTCTCCAGTATCCCTGTGTGAGTGGTACCAGCCTGCTGCAAGTCCCCCCATCCCTTTCTTTTTGTGCACCCACGTCCAGCCATTCACTCACCGTGGCATGGATTCTGCCTGCATCGTCTCCCTCGTCTGCTCTGCCCCCGCACCAGGCGGGACCTCATCATACCACAGTAGCATTGCAGCGAGGTCCTGCCGGCTCTTCTCCCTGCCCCTAGAACTTGATACCTTCCCACCCCGACCTCCACCCTCTGACCAGAGTGAATTTCTCAATAGGAAAATGTCCCTGCTGAACCCTTCAGAGATCCTACGTGACCTTCAGGAGACAAGTTGGGTGGGGAAGGACACTGCCGCCTTTCTCCCTCCCTTCCTGAATACTTCACACTTGGACTTCCTCAAACGTGGCATATTTTCCCTCATGTGCCTTTGTGCACATGCTCCTTCCTCTGTCTAGAGTTATTTTCTCCTCGGTTAATTTTGATTCTTTAAAACTCAACATTGCCATCACCTCCAAGGAGTCCACCGGGACTTCTCCCCTCCTACCGAGCCGTGCTGTGCTTCCTGCCCGTGAAACTCATCATGTAAGATTTCTCCTGTCTGTTCTCTGGACCATGTCTGCACACTAGGTACTGAGCTCCTTGCAATCAAGAACTATGTCTTTTAGATCTTCTATTTCTCGTGTCTGGCACAAGAACATGGTATCAGTGAACCCTTACTCAGTGCATAAAGTCTTAAGTCTGAGCTGAGTGGGGATGGATATGAAGAGATCACCCTTTTATACTCCTTGCTTTCTGTGTCATTTGTTACAGCTTCTCTCTAACGTCATCCATCCTGAGGAAGGCCATACACTGTTTTTAGAGAACCTTCTGGGAACTCAACCCCACGTTCAGTGCTTTTATCATGATTTTCTTTATATAGTGTCCATGTCCCAAACAATCAATGGGAGAGTATTTCTGAAAGCTTTGACTGTCATGGATACATAGAGAAAGTCAGGAAAGGCACATGTTTTTTGACAAAGCACAGTCTCTTTTTGGTAGTGAAAGAGATTGAATAATCTTGACATTCAAGCTGCGGTGTCAAAATATCATTATATAAATTGCAGTAGGGCACCTGAGTCTCTTGAATTACGTGGGGGTACAAAGTAGAATTGAAGACAGAGAGCAGAGAGAATACAGCCCAGCTGCCTTATGTAACTTCAGCACAACTTGAAAATTGCTGACATGAATTGGCATTTGCCAGTTTTCTGATCACAGATTAGCACGGTTGCCCCTTTAGATGGAGAAATTCTTTACTGACCCAGTTTCGTGAAGTAAAATGAAACATTCTATACCTGGCATTGCATCCATAACCTTCTCCGAGACAAGTTAAATCTTTTCTTAATGTCCTGGTGCATTGGCCTTTATCTCAGTGGCCAAAAGAGCGCCCCCAGTCCAACTGATTTCCTCATGTGTCAGTCCTGTCCTCCAGGAAGGGCAGGAATGACGGCGTCTTACCCATCTTCATCTCCGGGTTCCTAGCTAAGTGTTTGGCACTTGGATGTTAAAGGAATAAATTGTTTTGGCAAAGCTATTAGCAGAATGATCTAATGAGTATAAACAGGAAAGTGTGTGGAGGGGAAACTTATATTTTAAGAATTATGTTTTAATAAGTGGTGAATTATTTGACTATAAATCCAGTATTAATTATCATCAATAATGGATGAAATAGTGAGCATTTACTCTGAGCACTAAGCTCTACTGCTTCTCCCGTTAACTGAAAGACTAAATTTTATGGTTTGGGGTAAAAAAAGGAAATATAATTAAATGTGCATTTAGTAGCGAGAAGAGCTCAGTTGGAACAAGTTTGATGAGACATAGTGTCCCGAAGTAGAAGTCCTCCAGCTCTGTTGCATTAATACAGATTGTGCCATGAGTAAAAGAAAAAAATGAGAAATCATAAATATTTGCAACCCTCTCCCTTCCTCACCATCTTGGGAGGCCCCTCAAGAGAAAATATGGTGGTGATTGGGAGCTAGGGGACATGACAGCAGGAATGTTCGGCCTCTAAGAGAAGAGTAGGGTGAGGTAGGAGGCAGGTCGAAGAACCATTACCCACACAAAGTGGAACTCGGGAAGAGAGGTATAAAAGGCTTTTTTAGGAAGTCATTCTGTGTATGGGGCCATATAGTGCCTCCACACCCTTCCTATGACTGCCCCCCCCAAATCCACCTCTGCTCTCCATGCCTCCCTAGAAAACTTTGGCCAAGACTTAAAAGCTTGACACCAGCTCCTCTAGTGTCCAATTTATCTTTCTTTTAGATGGGAGCCAAACTGGGGGAGCCCAGCTTCCACCTGCTCATGGGATATGGGGACCAACTGCTTTAGAAGAGTTTTGGATTTTTTAAAAATAATACAGTATCCTGAGGGCTATCTGGGGAGCTCAGTCTGTTAAGCATCTGACTCTTGGATTTGGCTCAGGTCATGATCTCAGGGTTGTGGGATTGAGCCCAGGGTCTGGCTCTGCGCTCAGCTCCAAGTCTGTTCGTCACTCTCCCTCTGCAACTCCCCTCCACTTGTGCTCTCTCTCTGTCTCTCTCTCTCAAATGAGTAGATAAAATCTTAAACATATATATATTAATATATATATATAAACTGTATATATGTATGTATATATATAAACTGTATATATGTGTATATATACAGTTTAATGATTGTTTAAACATTTTCGTCCTCTCCCCTTCCCCTCCCCCAGCTTCTTTGCATTATTAATTTTCTCAGCTAATCCTAGTTCCAGAAAAAAAGCCAAAACTTTTGAGGGAGTTCTTTGTTCCTGATTGGGTAAA